TCTTTTGTATCTGTTTCATGATTAGTTTGTTGACTTGATATTGATGAAGAAATTTCTGGTGGTGGTGTATTTGGTCGATAACGTTTTTTTGGTGGAATATTATTTGTTGTTGATGATGGACTATGAAGTTTTTCTTGTTGTTGATTAAGATTTTTTATTGGTGAATCTTGTAAACGATTTACTAAACGTTCTTGTGCTTGTTGTATACGTTTACGAAATTGTTTAGAAAAATCATCATTTGATGATGCTAATACATTTAATAAATTATCTGATGATGGAACTAATGGAGAATAAAAACCAAGTGGTAATGATAATGGATCACGAGGATATGCTTTAAATGGTCGAGTTGGTTTACCATGTTTATTACGAAGTAATAAAGGTGGTAACATAGGAAGAGATGATTGAATTAATGAAGAAGATTTTTTCTCTTGCTAAAAACCAAAAACCAAAAACGAAAAATATGAATGAAAAAATAAACGACTGCTGTGTTTTTTTTTACCATATCTACATCTTCATCATCATCATCATCATCATCATCATCAGGATCATCTTGTAGTTCTTTTTTCATTATATTTGATGTCGTTGAAAAATCAATTGGTCCAGTTTGTTGTTGTTGTTGTTGTTGCTGTTGTTTTTGTAACGATTCAGCAAGATATTTGAATAATAATTGTTGTTGATCATCATGTGTATTTTCTTCATTTGATGATTGATCGTGTTCATCATCATGATGATTTATTTGTTCCATTTGATCAGCTATATCAGCCAAAAAATGAAGTTGTGGAGCGATCTAGAGTTAAGATAAAACAAAAACAAATATGATTAAACATTGATTTCTTTGTACTTAAAAACAAAAAAAAAAAGTGAGTAAGAACAAGAGAAAATATATGTGTCATCAGAGAACAAACTGATCATTATCCGAGAACGATGCAAGGAATTGACATACGTTAATTGAACACTCAAAAATGATGACGTCACTGTTAACATATACTAATTCGTAGTTCTTAGTATATTATCAAAAGATCTATATAAATAAAACCAAGAATGGTTCTCTCATTTTACTCGAGAAAACTTTTTGTTTTTTCTCGCGTGTTTCTATTTTGGATAAAACATTATTTTGTGTGTTCTCTCTTAGTAAAAAGAAAAAGATCTTTATACGCCTCCAATTTTCTTCAATGTTGACCCTGAATTCTTTGATAATTAAGTTCACAGTAATGTCTTCTCACTTAAGTAGCATCATAAGAATGACAATAAGAATAAACCGCCTATTAGTTCTTTTAGCAAAGGAAGACGAAATGTTTTCTTTTTTTTTAGATAACTCACCATCACCTATTCAACTTGATCATTGATCACCGAATGTACACATATTATTTCTTTCTCTCTTTATATATATATATGTATATATTTTCTTTTCGTATCAAATATTTGCTCATATTGTTCATGGAACGCACTTTCATTTTTTTTTTTCGCCAATGGCTTAGCCGCTATCAAATCTAATATACTCACCATCACGTCTGATTGCATTCAATGTTGAATAATCACCTGCGGCGGTAAGGCAAAAGAACGCAAGAGATGTAGCCTGTTGGTTTTATTTATTTTTTTGAAAACGAAATATAGATTGCGCAAGGTCGTTCTAACGGCTCTCTTCCGTGTGAGCGATAAAGCAAAAGATTGCTGACCCCTGTCGATTATGAAGATGAATAGTGAGGTCAGCGAAAGAGAAGAAAAAATTTTTTTTGACCATCAGTTTGCTCACATACTCAAGGTCATGCTATGTGTATGAACGAAAAAAAAAAAGAAAAGAAAATAAGGAAAGAGAATTAAATAACACAACGTTCAACATGCACAAGCGAACACAGCTTGAGCTCTTTGGTGATCGATGTGAATGAAAAAAGAACGAATATATCGCATAGCAGAAAAGAAGATTGGATCGTCATTGTATATACATCGGTCACTGGTCACTCAATATACATTAATTACACATTGTAGGAGGAAAAAATAAGATCTTGATTAATTCAATGAGAAAAAGAAAAGAGCTTTTGTTATTGAGATAATTAATAGTAATCATATGATAAATATGTGATGATATAAATGAATAACTTAAAATCAAATTTTGTGACAAAAAAAAAAAGATGCATGAAAAACTTCTAAGATCACTGTGAAATAGGACTATCAATGACCATAATTATCTGACTTCACTGCAATTTTATGCATGATTATGAACAAATTTTAAAACAAGAAAAATGATACCAATAATCAAAACAAAGCATTTTTCGATTATTTTTTTGTTTTTCTGAAAAAAATATTGAAATTAATGTCCGTTCACATACAAAAAAGAAAAAGAGTATCATGGTTTGAAATATATCGTTATCTTCGCATTATTATCATTAAGACTTGATTTTTACGGCAATTTAACAATGTTCATTCATCACTGGTTGTTTGTTGTCCTAAAAGTGCTTTTTTTTTTTAATTTCTTTTTTTTCTTTCAAATATTTGACATTTATAAATATATGAACTCAATTCTCTTAATTTTTCATTATTATCATGTGTTATATGATACAATATAATAATCATTGAACAACATTATGTGACCTTGTCACACATTCGTGTGAAGAGAGATATTAAATTACAAGTTTATTTTATTTTATTTTATTTTTTTCTTTTTAATAACCAATCAATTTTAATGTCAAAAAGAGACCAATCAATATCCTTGAGACAATTTTAATCTTGAAAAATTACATTCAGCGGATGTTTTGTTTCAATAATTATATATTGCAATCTGTTTAGGTAATCTTTGCATCATATATATATTCAAAAACAGATGTCTAGCGGAATTGAATATAAAAAATAGAAATAAAATAGAATGATTAATTGCGATATGTTAAAATAATGATGATGATGTGAAAGGTCATGCATGATAGAAGAAGAAAAAAAAAAATGCTTTTTTGTTAGAACATATGGAAATAATGTGATTCAATAAAACAAGAACGAACGAAGAAAACAACTATAATAAATAGTACTATGTGTTATAAGAATTTGTTTGTTTGAAATAGGATATAAAAATTGTTTTTTATGCGTACATATAATCTCTCTCGAGACAATTATGCTATATAGAATCTTTGATCTTAACTTCTCACTGTGTGAACTATTGAATAAGATCAATTGAGTTCATTTTGTTATTCAAAACATCATAGAGAATATAGAAAAAAAGCAAAAATTTTTTTTTCGTCTAAAATAGGAAAATTAGGCTTTTGAATATTTTTGCATCAATGATCAATTTTGATAAGCAAATATATATAAAATAGTGATCTTATCAGGAAGATTGCTTAGATTATGTTTTCATTGTTTTTTTCTCTCTTCACTTTAATTGGTTTGATAATGAACACATCATCATATTATGATTACCAAATTGAGTACTTTTTCTTTACGATTTTTGAAAGTGTCTTTTCTCAAAGTCTAACATATTTTTAAAAAAAACTACAATTAATATTCTTGTTGATCAAACCCATTTTGAAATTTCTAGTTTTTATATAATTTCTAGTTCATAACGAATTATTTGACATAATAATAGGACACAGTTATCTTTGAATAATTACACGGATGCAACCTAACCACTTGTGGATGGTAGTATACCACTTTATATCTCTTTCGATCTTAGTAATTATGAAAGTTAAGAGTTTAATTATTTACATATATGTGTCGAAACTAAAATTTGTATTCTGATTGAGTAAAATAATATTTTTCTAACAAGATATCATTACAAATTAACTATATCCTAATTTTATAAGAGAAAAGGATTTTTCATCGAAATTATAAATATTTCAGAAGTAAAATACATATCTTTCTTTGATGATATATAATACAATATGAGTGCCATAACATCTACTTCAAGTTCGAATACATATTCTGTAGTAATTAGGCATGTCTATTACGTTAGTCTGCATGCCATGCGTCATCAACTTCTTTAATAACGACAGAAAGCTATAAATAAAACCTTGTTATAATTTACATGAAAAAAAATATCAAAGCCTACTTGTAGTATCAACGAACAAGAATAATATTGATTTCAGCATTATGTTAAAAATGCAGTTCAATTTAGAAATGTAATATCCTTGATAATTACTTTGTCGGTCTACTTAATCTTCAATATGTGAATCATAAATTTTCCTATCTTCAACCTTTCTATTTACTTCAATGAGAGGTTTATGTACTAATGAATACCTATTATACTAAAAAAAGAAAAAGGAAGACCTATCTATTTTTATCAATCAAATACTTCGTATTATAAGTACTTTTCTTTGATAATAAAATTCAAATCATATCTTTATTTCAAACAAAAAAAAAAAATGAAAAGGTTTGTCTATTAGAATATGACAAAAGAAAAAAAAAACAGCCCGCGTCAATACATATATATACGCATTCATTGAGATTGAGTTCTTTTTTTTTTCGTATACATTTAAAAACAAATAAACAAACGAAATATGACACAATAATATAGACGAATACGAAGTCGATTCTAATCAATTCTAAATATAGACCCACATACAAACAAAAAAAGAAAAGAAAAAGTACCATATATTGCGTAAAAAAACAAGAACAAAAAGAAAACTAAAACATAAACGATATTATGAAATATAATAATAAAGCATATCGTTAAGTGGAGAACAAACAAAAGATGGCCACTTATACACGGCACAATAGAAAAGAAAAAAACGAAACGTCATTGGTAATGTCAAATACAACAAAACAAAATGAAGCAGTGTAATTCAGTCCAATAGTAAAGACATATGAATACATCCGAGGAGCTCGGCTCTCTCATTTGTATTCAAAGACTGCTTAGCAGAGATAAAGATAAAAAAAGCAAGAAATCGAACAACTCGATGAATAAGAAATAAATGAATACTTTAGCAAAATGAAAAGAGAACAAAAACACATCACCGAGTCTAACATGAGAGAGAGAGAGCCGTACGCACACTTACAAACATATTTATAGATATATATGACTATGAAGATGCATGAATCATACACCGCAATTTAGCCGTTTCTTGTTTTAGTTGTGATAATTCAAGACGTAATTTAATATTTTCTTGTTCTAAAATTGCTGCTCTATAAATATATAAAGAGAAAAATTGATTTTTATTGATTTTAAATGAAACTTTTACCTTAAAGCAATTTCATCTTCTTTAGCACGTCTTGCATCACGACTACGTTTAGCAGCTTCATTATTTTTTCTTCGCCGTTCCCAATATGTATCATCTTTGATTGCATTATTTGTATCATCATTTTGTTCATTAGATATAATTTTTTCATCATTTGTTATTGGATTTTCCATCATTCGATGTCGTTTTTTTGGTGGTTGTAAAATTTGTGTACCAGATGATGATATAAAATGTGTTGTACTTAATAATTGTTGTTGTTGTTGTTGTTGTTGTTGCTGTTGTTGTAAACGTTGTTTAAGACGTTCTTGTGTTTGAGTAAGTCGTTTTCGATTAGCTGTTGCACGACTAGCTGCTTCAGCAAAAATATTTGTTTGTTCCGATGTTGTACTAGGACAAAATCCAAGTGGTAACATTAATGGTTCACGTGGATAAGCTTTAAATGGTCGTGTTGGTTTACCATTTTTATTTGTTAATAAAAATGGATAATTATTTGATGATTGAAGATTTTGTAACATTGTTGAAATAATTTGTTGTGGTTGATTTGGTAATGGTGATAATGATATTGGTGTTGAACATTCATTGATATCATCTGTTGAACGACGAGAAGAAAAATCTATTGGACTTTCAGCTGTTGATGATGCTGATGATGTTGATGGTGGAGATATTGGTTCTAATTTATGTTGTTGAACTTGACGTTGTGCTGCTGCTGCCGCTGCCGCAGCAGCCATCACTGCAGCAACATTTTGTTGAGCAAGTAATTGCATTAATAACTCTTGTTGTTGTTGTGATGATGATGATGTCATGGAAAGAGAATCGATTGGAATTTGATTTTGTTGTTTTTTAGGAGCAGATGTTGTTGCAGTAAGTGCTTTTTGTGAACACTCACTTTCTACTTTTTCAACAGCCTGTGCTAGTAATTGAAGTCGATAATGTTGTTGTTGTTGAGTATTATCTATGTTAGGACTTAACGATGATTCTTCGCTTTGTACTGGACCAACCTGAAATGAAAAAAAAAAAACAATGAAAAAATGATATCACCATTTGTAACGCATATTTACAGATAGCACATTATTTGTTACTTTTTTTTTTTCTATAATCACACATTACTCATAACAAATTAGTCGATAGTTAATTAGGTCATTTTGACATTGAAAACTTACCATTCTCTAATTATTGATGATATTTGGAATTATTTTTGTTATGATTAACTTCACCGGGAAAACTTGTTATTGTCACCCAACAACAACAACACTATCAATCCACACAAAACGACCTTGTGAGTGCTGAGTATGGAAGAAAGCGAGTAATATGTTTTTGGTGGCGTCCGATGACGGAGAAAGGCGATTGCGTGATTTGATTCTTTTCTCTTCTCCTTTTCTTTCTCTCTTTTCTATCTTCTTGCGTCGTTTCTTTTTTCTTTTTTTTACTTGCGTATGTGCGATTGCATTAGACCATTAATAGTCGACGTCATAGACAGTAACAGTAGTTTTCTGTTTTGTTGCTTTTTTTTTTTTTCTTGCGTAAGTTAAGGACGTCAGACAGAACATACGTTCTGTAGTTTTGCCATTAACGTCAAAAAACAGAACGAGACAAGCAATTCTCTACTATTTGCTAGTTCTCTGTTGTAGTCCGCATTATTGTTATGAAACAGCGTTCTGTTCCCGACGCTAGACGTGTTTTTCTGTCAAATCGAATTATGTAATTTTTCTTTTTTTTTCTTTCTTTCATCTCTTCTTATAATTTTTTTTTCTTTTTTTTCTTCCACCTCCCTCGACTTGTTTCTATTACATTTTTATGTAATATTACGTTATATAGTCGCGTCTAAGCTGAGTTGTTTTCATGTCCTTGTTCGTCTTTTTTTTCCCCATCTCACGCAATCACCATAAGTAAATATATATATATATATATGTATATAAGATCTTTCGTGATAGCAATAACAAGTCGATGACAAGAATTCTAGTAAATGTTAGCAAATAACTTGTGTTTTTTTCCTCTCTCATTTCATATGACGCAAATATCAATCTCTATTTTTTTTTTCTTTTACAACTTACTTCATCAATAATATTCATCATATGGAAAAATGAAAATCTTTTTTTTTACAAAATGTTGCTTTTGTTTAATAGCATGTGCACAAATAAGAAATAAATTTGATGACCTTGAACACAACTGTAAAATGACCGATGGTACAATATGAATCTTTATATTTTCTTTTTCTTTCTTTCTCTCTTTGACCAAGGTCAACCGGACGCAATGCAATCACATGAACACACATGCATACAATCTTTTTTTCTTGCTCGTGTTCGATAAGTTTATACATAATGTGTGTTCGCATGTTTGTTCATACATATTTGTTAGCATGAGTAGTGGCGGTCAACATCCATCGGTCACAACCAAGGTTAAACTTTTGCGCGTATGTGTTTCATAAGGTCGCATAGTGTACAATACATGTTTTTTCTCGTTCTTTCTCTCTTTCTCTTTGCTTCCTACGCATTCGTTCAATCAAATGCTTAATTCATTCACTAGACGTTCACACATATATGCATATCTGTCAAATATTATTATAAAAAAAGTACTTGTATAAAGAGCAGTTGCTATTATTGGAAATGAAGAAGAAGAAGAAGAAGAAGAAGAAAATAAAAAATTTGAACTCAAAGAACAAATTGTCATTTGAAAATGATAATTTATGATAGTAAATGATAGGGCAGTAAAAGAGTAGAATCCAGTGTCAATAGTCATAAATAGAAATTTAATGAAAAAGCCTTGTTTTAATATAACTATAAAAATTGCTATCTGTTATTCTCAATGGAAGAATGAATTAATTAGTAGCAGTTACTTTTCAATTCTTTTCTATGTCACAATGGTCATATGAGATTATATTCGCTCGAAAAAATAATAAAGGAAACATCCTTAAGGAAAAAAAAGAAAACTAAAACTACTGACGGCATATGCCATAATACGAAATTTAATTATGCTTCCTGCAAAACTTTAGCAATGTCAAATAACGTATTAACGTGATTAAGTATTTCGTGTATATATATATATATAAAATTGATAAAATATCCTTGTTTTTTTGTCAATTATTTTTACCAAATATGATGTTTATTTCTATAGAAAAACATTCTTTTACATTTTCGCTTGAGTTGATAATAAGATTCTGGGAACATCGACATCAGTATTGATTGGATGTTCGTTGTCAAAATGATTTGCTTTTTTTCTTTTTCCAATGCCATAAAGAATTATTCGAATCATTTAATTAATGATCGAATGGATGTAAGCTTCCGACGTAATTCAAAAAAGCTAAGTTCCATTAAAATAACCGAGTTGAAACTATTTGCATTTTCATTATAAGATTTACAGTCATGCGCAAAAAAAAAAACTTTTTTCGCCTATTGTGTTTTTAATTCTCGAAACTTTTCCAATTTTAGTATGCATAAATATAAATAGCATTTGTATCTCGCATAGCATTCGACTATCTTAAAGGATAGACTCAATTTTTTTAATCTTCTTTTCAAAAGGAGATTTTGAACTAGAGACATTTAAGATTTCTTTTTTTCTAACAGTACCTAGATAAACGGGAAAAACACGTTGTCCCTACTTATTATTATAATTTTTTTGCACTTTATCACTATTTTCATAGCATTTTGCATTTTTCTTTTTTTTGATGATTTTACCTTGACAATTTGATTAAAGTGCAAGAAAAAGAAGAAGATAACAAAAAAAAGGGCTACAAGCGTCACTAGCTCCGAGTTAGATCTTTACAATAAAAGAAGAGAAGCGACTTTATACCTTAAGGTAATTGGAATGTCTTTGAAAATCAGAAAAGTCTCACAAAATGGGTACCTTACATTTTACTAACAATATTCTTATACCAACAAATAAGGACATATATATATATACATGATTGAAAATATGTTTTTGTCTATAGAACAAAATATTTCCAATAATCTATAGAGAGTTGAAGCTTAATAATATGCAACCTTTTTGCAGATCATCTTGTTGAAAGACAAACAAAGACTAAAAACAATAAATAGAATTGTGAATACTAAATATTTATTGGTTTGCAAATCTATTCAAAATATCATAAAGATTTATCATCTTCATCAGATGAAATTTTATATTAAAAAAAAAAAGCCAACGACTAGAATGATGCATGTGTTCAGTTGAAATGCAGCTTGATTTTTGAATAATACTCAATGTTATGATCAAATATACTGATGATTATTATTTATTGAAATGTTTTGTTTAACACGAACAATAATGCGTGGGTTATAATGGATAGCACTATATATTGAGTGCATTTTTTTTTCTGCCTTCTGCTTATGAGAAAAAGAAATAAAAGCTAGTTCCTCTAAAAGCAGAATATTATCGAGCTTTGATTACGGAACAGACAAAAAAAACCTTAAATAAACATACATACTTCAACATATGAATTAAACTGAAGTATTTTTAGCCATTTATTTAGTGTAATTAATAAATATTTGTGTGTTGATAATAGAATCTTAGTTTATATATTAGTAAAGTGGATAAAATATGTATACGAACGAATAAATATTATTTCGAAGTAAGCAAATTGTAAGGAAAAAAAACTAAGATAAATATATGGTACAATGAAATGGATCGTATTAGATAAAATGCTCTATTCTCTGTCATATTTTTCTTTTATTAAAAAATATGAGCTACTTCGGGCTTTATTATATAAAAGTCTTGTTTTTTCTCTAAAAATGCATTATGAGAAATAGTTAACAAACCTAATGTAAAAACTTTGGTATTTTTGCAAGTTTGTTGACTTTCTTGCTTAATGTTTTAATAAAAGATAAAAATTTTCATGAACAATCGTAACTAATTTTTTTTTTCATCTATTAAATCAAAACAAATCAAAGAATATGGACTCAATAGTTCATCAGATATATTATGCTAAAGAATCAAACCATAAAATATAAATATTATTAAGATCCATATCGAAATTGAACTCATCAGAAAAGAATATCTAGACTTGACATATGTGAACTATTGACAACAAAATTTTAATCCTATTTCCTAGATAACGTATCAACAAATTGATATTCTCTTTCAAATTGTTAAACTTCAATTGATTAGAGTTGAAAATATTCGAATTTAAATAATAAATTACAATCCATGAAATTTATTTTTCATTTTCTTTTCAGACAAAAAAAAAGAAGAAAATTTTGAAATATTTTTATTTACGATTAAAAGACAAAGAGTAGAATTTTTTCTTATACGAGTTTAAGTTATTGTAGTTTAAATTAGAAAATAAGAAAAAAGAAATTATTTTGCGAGTATGGTCATATTTGATCAAGTAAATGAATTTTGAAAAATAATGATATATTTAATGTTTTTTAATATTGTAAAATCATCATGGATTAGAATCTAACTTGTAATTGAACTATTTCCTAGAAATAAAGAAGTTTTGTAAAATTTTAATCATGAACATTTTATTAATTTCAATATTGTCTTTATCAGACATATTATTCTATGATAGTTTTGTATGTATAAGATCTAATGAAAGATTGTTGAAATTTTTATACATTACGTTCGATTATTTCAAAATAAACGATAATAAAGAATTCAATTCACTTTAAAAGCTATTCAAGATAAAAATCTTTTTCCTCCTAGAAAAAAATGTTAGATTTAAAAACGATAATTTGTATGTTCAGTTGTTTTTAATTACAAAATTACATATTATAACCGAAGTGATGCATGTTTTGATATATAATGATTTCTATTTTGTGATCTAATATTACTTGAGTATGATGTCGTTTTGTCTTAAAATATAACAATACGAATTAAGTTAGCATTTGAATACTAGTTTAATGAAATCTCCAATTATTCTTTGACAAATTTTTCTATCTAATCATGTTAGTAATAAATAGTTTTACAATTTTCTAATGCATATTCTATTATATCAACCTATTTCATGATGAAAGATCTCAAGTTGTTGTATTGCGGCATTGTTAAGATCTTAATTATACATAAAAACATGGTTTTCATTGTTTTTTTTTGACGCAAGAAACTTGAAATTTCAACAAAAAAATGGAGAACGGTTTTCCAACATAGATACTTTTATTAGATAGTTTTTTTTTTAATGAAAATATTCCAAATGCCTTTTATTCTTATTATTTCAATAGCTCATAATAACAAAACTCATTCAAACGTAAACATTAAAAAAGAATATGACATTAATATAAGTTTTCTTTTTTCTTTGTTGTTTTTATCTTCGAACACTAAAATCAAGAACACCATGAGTACAATAAAATTAGCAAATACTTTTTAGAAAGTAAATATTTCCTTTCACACTATTGACAGAACTTTTTTTTTTTTTAAATAACTAGATAAAGTGTTTATTAACTGGGTTTCTTTTTAACATCTGAGATCATAGTTGTCATGTGTGACGTAGAAAGGATAAAAGAAAAAAAAAATGTTGATTTTTTTATTATTCTACCGGTTTGCATCTGTAACCGAGAGATTGATGAATAATACTTAATAGAAATTAACTAAAATAGTCAAAAAAGAATAATTATTATACAACTAAAAGTCTATCATTATGTTTGAAAGTGTTTCATCTTTACCAGATGCAGGTCAGTTATCATCGTCAGTTATTTTATTTATTAATTCACAACAAGAAAAATCTTTACTCTTTTCAGATGATTTTATTTTCAAATTAAACCAACTACGAAATATTGAAAATGTATACTTAATAGATATTTAGTAAAAGAATGCTGAATTGATTTAAATGATTAATAATCACAGTTATTCTGTAGATAAGAAAAGACTAATGTACGTAAATTTTGTGAAAAGTTCTTTCTGTTAAATTTTGTATGGTCTTTGTGAGAATGTTAATATTATTCCATATGATAAAGAATAGGTCTTCCTAATCAGAATTTTCTAAAGTATTTTTCGATATTTTTTTCTTTCGATCTATTTACGGTGAACCACAGTTGTGAGAGAAGTGTCTCATAATATTCATTTGATGCATTTTGGATTATTAAATGTTATTAATTTAACAATTTTAAGTGAGCTTGTTGTAACGAATGCGATATTCATGTATCTCCAGAGTTGAGAATTTTAGTAAACGATGTTAGTGTAGTAGGCCTTATCTTCATGATAGTTCTTGGAAATTCACATTAAAAACTCTTAATTCTCGAGATAGATGGGTGTCGAGTTGAATATCTGTTGGTTTTTAGATATGGTAGTCATTCTTTAGTTATATGCAACGTTGTGAAAATCAACACAAGTCAAGGTGGTAGTAAATATTAATAATATAGGAAGATGTATTTCTCATCTGCGGAAATTTCTTTTATAATTAATGTTTGAGGAGAAAAAAATAAAACTGACGATCTTTCACAGATAGAATAAACGTGTAACAATCCATAAATTATTATCATCATTCTATACATAGGTGGTTATATATACTATTTAATTCGGATGTATGAATGGTCAGTGAAATTTTTAAGTTTGATTATTTTGCAGATTTTTGTTTTAAAGGATATTCAAATCACATTGTCTTCAATATGTAAGTAATTATATTTCAATGATGACAAAGAAAATAGTAATTCAAGGATAATGCTTAACCATACAGCAAATATCTAATATGTATTATGAAAGATAAATTTTTTTCTTTGTAAAACTTAATTCTTACTAACAATCATGTATCACCAAAAAAAAAGATTGTCGACTCAGTCCTTTTGAGATTGAAGTATGAACCTCACATGTGTACATCAGATACATTATATTAATAAAAAAATATGTAAAATGAAAAATCTCTTGTAGACTATAGTTGTTTTCCAAGATAAACAATCATCAGAGAAGCAATCTGTGTTATTCATTTCTGCATTTCGAATAGAGTTTTGTTTTATTGGTGCTCTAGATTTACTTGCATTGTTGCTATTTGTTCATTGGTTTTCATTTTTGTACTCAGTTTCTCTTAATTAAACATTACTATTATTGTCATCATTAATTGTATTGACAGATTAGCCTATAGTACCTCTCCATTCTATCTATACCATGTCTCAAGACACTATTATATTTCTTGATAAGCTCACAAAGACTGATTTTCCAAAGTTATTACTTGATCAATTTATGATTGTAATGTTGATCAAATGATGGTTATGAAAAATCAATGCACCACTATCCATCATCCTTGACATCTTGATTATAAAGTTTTATTTGAACACCTGTGATAAATCGGACTACTTAAAATATTGACAAACGTCACATCCAGGCATTGAAATTTCAACGAAAACTTTAGAAAGTTTTAGAGCAGTCTCACCCTTCTCATTAATATCGTTCAGTGCTTTTTTCCGTCGCTGAGGATCTCTAAAAAAAAAGTCTAATGTCTGTTCTCTTCGGTAACTAAGGTCTGTGACGAACGGGGATAAAGGGAATGCAAAACTTCGGCTAAAAAAGAAAACACAAAACATAGATACTTAAATTCAAAAATTGATGTATTCATTTTTATAATCGTTTCCAAAATCGTTCTGTAAGTTAAGCAAAACCAAAGCACGAAGATTTTTTTTTTACACAAGTTTCCTATTTTTTATACCATTGTTGATTCAGTCTAGTTTTTTTTTCTTTGATGACATAAGGCTTATATTTTTTTAATGAGCTTGTATTTCATTTTGATGCTAACGATAAAATACAGAGCTTAGTAAAAAAAAAAACGAGACTATTTTTATGTCAAAGCAATTTGACTCTTGAATAAATTTAAAGATCAATTTGATTTTATTCTACCTACGAATGTCACATTCCTCAAACAATTACATCCGAGAAAATATGATTGTTGACAAAATTCTATTTCAAATCACAAAATTTTGTCATCGATATATTTTAAATTTTCTATCATCTCAATATGTCTACACTTTGTAGTTCTTCGATCATGTCACTTATAATAAATATTTGTTAGTACCTGTGCTAACAAAAATTAATTATTGAGGTTTTTTTTGTTCAGTCGATGGAACAGAAATAAGTCCTCTTGAATCACATACAAATATATCACATGGACTATAGTTAATATGTGCTTGTTCACCAAAGATCATATGCCAAGTATATTCAAGTGTTCTACCTGTCAATTGATCTGATTCTGGACTAGCCAGAATATAATCAATAATATTTGAATAAAATATTTTTGGATGAGCAAGAATAGCTTGTCTTTTAACAACAAATGTTGCACAGCAATGTGTTTGTACTCCATTTTCTGGTGGAGGACCAAGTTCTTTTTGTAAAACAGCTTGCCATAATTCATAATTAATTTTTATTTGAGGATCGATTGAATTCTGTTTAAATGTACAATGAGTCTTTGCACTAGTTAGTGGCATATAATTATATTTATTCCATTGTAATGCTCGTAATGCAATCACAATATCTGATGGATCTTTTTGATGCCAAGATGTTCGATGTCCATGAACAAAAGCTATTGATGAAGGTAAATTTGAATAATGATCAACAATATATTGAAGATAGGCTACAGCTTCTCTGCCTTTATTTATTATAATCTTATGTGGATGTGGTAATGGATTATTCGATCGTGTATAAATAATATATGAAATTTGATCACCAAGCAATAAATTAAGCCAATCTAAATCTTCATTAAAATGTGATACAACAACAATTTTAGCTAATTGAGATGTTTTATTTGTTTGAATAGTAGAATTTAATCTGCTGTTAAAATATTTATATATCGATGTGATAAACTGAGGTTGAAATTGAGGTAGTCCAAAAGTAAAAAAAAGAAACAATAGAGTAATGAAAAATAGAATCAAATGATGAAAACCAATAGCTAAAATGTAATCCACAAGATTATAAACTTTTAACGAATAAGAAAATTTTTGTGATGGTATTTTTACCTTTTAATTTTTTTATATCATGATAAACTATGCTCATTTTGTCAGGCTTTTAGGAATATTATTATTGGTTGAGAAAGTGAGTATGTTAAAAAGATTAAAAACTACATGGGTGTTATTTCTTCTGTCTTTTCTTTCTTTCTGTTGGACTGTAAATGCTGAGATATAGAGAAATTAATATCTTCGAGTATATTTTTTTTTCTATTCTTTTAATCAAGGTTCTTTTTTTCTATTGTGAAACTTTGGATTCTCCATTGGTAGTAAAGTTCAAAAGAGTACTAGTTTAATGTAAAATGATCGAGTTTTTCAAAATTGATTTGCGAAATGTGATTAAACAAAAAGAATTTTTTAATTTTTTAACATATTTTTCTCGTAATATTTCTTCAAGTGTGTAAGTTTCTATTTATATTTTGAACAAAAGAGATATTCTTATAAACAAATAAATTATTTATTTCAGAAGAAGTTACAAAAATCAACATATTTCCGTAAAACAATTGAAATACTTGGTTAAAAATTGTAGGAGATGTAAGTTATAAGTACGGAACCAATATTCCATGTGTGCAGAGTTGCCTGCAATTTGTAAATGACATCCATATGTATTCATAGCACGGCTTAGCTCGACTTAACAACACCTGGAAAGAAATGTTATTTAAGAGAATTATTATTTTAAAAAGCTAATCTTAGTAGTACAATTGATATAAGATTAGAAATTACATTTGAGAAAGAGTCTTTCATCTAACTGTTCGCTGATCGACTTTAGCACTTAATAATAATGGGAAGTTTTTATTAAATTGATTAAAGATGAGACAAAAAAAAAACTAGAGGCTGCAGTCGACACTGAAGGTACAGCAGTCGGTAGTGATGGTACAAAGCAGCTAACGTTGGTGCCAAAAAGATATATATTCTATCAATGATGTATACAAATATGCTCAAAATTACAACTGATTGAAAAAAAAATTTTCGTGTAACTCGAAGCACTCTTAAAAAAGCAATTCAATTTGATCATTATTTATGAAATATTGAGAAATATAAATTATATTGATTAGAAAGTTTATTTCCAATTGAGCTTGCTAAACTTCAATGTTTTTCAAAAAATGAAATATATAATTTAATTTAAGTTTTTCTTTCCAATCAAAAATCTATGTCCATCTCAGAACGACCTATCTAGTTGAAAACTTCAGGACACGTGAGCTCGGATCTAAAAAGCTTACAATGAAAATTTCAGCGCAAAATATTGAGCCATTCAAGAGTTATCCTTATATTAAGGGTCAAAAAGTAGCCCTTTGTGTGTCCTAGATTTCTCACCCAAATCTAATGATACATAACTCAGATTAGTGTCAGAATGTAGCTAACATTTGCCGCTACAACTTAGCCAAGTTCGACTTTTGGCACCAGTTTTTGTAGAAAAGCTCGGAAAAATAGAGCTCCTTTCGTGGAACAAGATATATTTGTCCCAAAAACTAAGTCAAAAATAAGAAACCCAGCTCTAAAGAGTTGTGGAGCGTCATTTCCTCTTGATAATCCTTGTCTACTATATGTTATCAATTTTAATAGATCAAATGAAGACATACACATACTTGTATAGCGTCTAAAAATTTGAATATAGAATAGAAAAACATACGACGTCTAAGTGTGGCTGTTCATATCACCCATCTGCGACCAGCTCTATCCATTCACATCCACTTCAACAATACCAGCTGCTCGCATAGACACAAAATCAGAAGAAGGGAAGAAGAACGAATACTCGTGTAAGATGGTGCCTTTTTCACATAAGCACTATCAAATAACTCTATAATTAATATAAACACTAGTTGAGAAGCAGTGCAAGAGATGAGTCCAATTGTTCGGAAGTTTGAAGCGCTTCCTAATTATTTCACACATTTTTACTAGATCCTTCACTATGAGAAACCTTAGGAAGAGTTCAAAAAGCAACCATAAAAAACATTTTGCTCTATTTCAGCATCATCAGTAACTTCTGTGTGAAATTGTCAAAAAGCATCAGAATTCCGATAAATTTTAGTGATCTCAAAAGTAGACAACGAAAACTAGCTAACCATATAAAAGTCTCAAAATCTTTTTTTTTTGACGAAAATCACAACTTTTGACAGGATGCTTTTACAAGATTAGAAGAAACTATTGATCCGGTATTATTGAATCAAAAGAACAAAATATTGTGGAAAAAATTATTGATGAATAAGCTGTTAATCAAAAACACTTGAAATGAGATATAAAACGTATATTTGACTAATCAGCAACATCATCATTGAATATGAGTAGTCGATGGTGATAAAGACCTTGACATAGTAAGTGTAATGCAATTAAAATTAATTTTTATTTTGTAATTGACTTTTTCGGCGTTCTTCTAGGATATTTTATAAATTCTGAATCTCGATGAAAATTAATTATTTACACAGACAGAATAATCTTTAACTGGATACATGCATATGAGATTTGAGTATTCGTGTTACCATTTCTAAAGGCATCATATCGAATGAAATTTCTTTTGTAAAAATAGTGATACAAACTTTATTGCAACCGACCAACGGGATTTTTTTTGTAGGAAACTGAGCCTAACGAAATACAAAATACAGTATAGAACAAAAATTTTTCATTTTTCAATGCTCATATGTTTTCTTCATTTTAAAGTGCTTCTTTTTATATATAATTCACCTCATAATTCAAGATGTGGTGGATGAATGTTTATCTATCGAAACTACATATTTATGGAAAACATCGAAGGAAAAAAATTTGGCAAAGACAATTTTCAAGGTTTGTATAAGTCCAAGATAGATTGAATACAGAATAAAGAAAAGTCACCTAGCGATGATTGTGAGAAAATGATTAGTAAAATTTCTTAAACAGTTAAGGAAAAATCAATAATTCTTATAGAACAAATACATGATAGATAATTGATATTTTTTATGGCAACAACTTATTATTAGAATCAGTCAAATATACCGCTTGTCTTTTTCTTCATACAAAAAATTGACGAAGATTTTATTCAACAGTACGTTATTTAGAATGTCAACATAGATATTCAGATCTCTTATAGATGCATACAGTTAGTGATCATTATCTACTTGCATATAAATTGATTTATATCGAAGTTCAGATATTATAAAACATTCAATCTTCTGTAAATGTATTCGATTAGGATCTTACTTATTCATCAGTTAATTTAAATGTAGTATTTATTTTTCTGAAACTCGAACCAATTAATATGCAATCGAATAGCTATGATGAGAATACCTCCCATCATTTCAGTTGATTACATCCAGTCGATACAGATTCGAAACGCAACAGAAAGCAAGTTTCCTCGTTTAGAACTAAGTTCAGTGCAGAGAAGTTTCTTTGTACTAATACTTATTGCGCATCTCCCTCACACTCCGTTAATTGATAATAAAAAGCGAGCAACGTATTTATTTTTCAAATAATATCAAAAGAAAACAAAAACTAACAAATAACAAAAAATATAGTTTATGATGTAAAATGGTTCATTTATGGATACTTTAAAGATTGATTTGAATAGCTGTGATGTATGGTAAACAAATTATATACTGAATGTTCATGCTAATGCTAAAACATCGAGTGTAGTTCTGCGTTTGATTAAATACTGTAACTACAGACACCACTTACAACTATCAAGTTGACGTGTTTTCATGTTTACTAACTGAAAACGAATTGTAAATGTTATCCTTTCTGAATGATCTGAACATGACTAAAAATTCAGAATAGCAAAGTTTCAAAGAATGTGCCTGTGCATGCTGGTATTGATGAAGATGTAAGCAACGACCTCAGTATATGTGCAATGTGGTGCTTGTCTTCACTATGCAAATAATCACACTCATACTCATACAGTCACAACCACACCTTAATCCATCCACTATCACATTTTATGCTATCCACTCCATGAAAATAAATAACTTTTTTTTTGAATTTTAATAAGAATTGATAGAAAACACTTTCGACTATTTACTGGTGAAAACTCTTTTTTCTCTCATATAAAATGGTTGAAAAATGGCTGAAATATACTAATTCTTTTTGAAAGTTGATCTGAATTACAGCAATTGGCTATATTACTTAATGCACAATGGTTTTATTAATTTGGAATTTATTCATGAAGACATTTATCATGGATGAAAGAAAGTTTGTTGTTGGTGTTGTTTTACTTTTAGTTTGCAACATTCCTGTTGTGAGTGAGAAAAAATGATCTTGTCTGATATCGTCGTCTTCAACATAAAGTGTGTGAAAAAAGGAAAGACACTACATAGAACGTCATGCTTCGACATGACAAGAAGGAGATAAGAAATTATAGTAATATACTATTAAAATTTTAATAATTTGCAATTGTTTATAAAGAAAAACAATGAAGCTATCCTATTAATGATATTCTAATACGATCGATTAAGTCATTTATAGCTGTTTACACTTAAATTGTATGTATACAAAATCATATCTAACATATAAATACAATTAACACGTTTTGTGATTGACCAAAGAACACACTTTTCGCGTGTGTCTGAAAAAAAAGCTGTGTTAAAAATATTTCATTCACTTTAAAAATATTAGTTCAGTATAAAAGTGTGTTCTCTCTTCATTGTATGAGAGTTACTATATTTATTGTATCAACCATGAAATATTTCTATCGAAAAATAAGAGTTGAATATATAAAGTAGATTTTGTTTGGTTATTTAAAATTATAAAATTCTGTGGTGAAGAATCATTTATAACATGTTGAGATAGCAAATAACCCGAGTGTTTATAAATAGATAAGATTTTTCTCTGTTGCTGACATATACTTTGTTTGACTTTATCACAATTGATAAAAAGATATTTGTCTAACAATACTGCTATCATATCTATTGATCTTAAAAGAAACACAACATTTTAATGATGGACATGTTTCGATTTGTATCGTTACTTTTCTTAAGTTTTGCTTCATGCAGTAAGTATTCAAAAAATATATATTTTAATATATAAGAAATATCATAAAATAATAGATAATGGACTTCCTCGCTTTGCCAATTATATTCAAGATCA